TGATAACGTATGTCATAAATGTGCTTGATAAAATTGATGTATGGATTGTTGTAGGTTCAAACCCACAAGCTGCCTTCCAGGAGAAAAACAAGGCTTCCTGCTCCTGCCCCATAAAGGTGTTCACCCTCCGGACCCCTCAGGAGCGATTCCACTCTGTCCTTTAGGGTCTGTGGGTCAGAATCAACTTCATCGGTGGCCCTTGATTGTCTTGCCCTCTGGCAAGGGGCCCTGGTGGCATGGTGGGTTAACCATTGGGCTTCTAAGTGAAACGTTGGTGCCTCAAGCCTGCCAGCTGCCTCGTGTCTCCCGTATGAGCAAGGGCTGCAGCCTCGGAAACACTAGGGAGTTGTCCCACTCGATCCATTAGGGGAAAGTGAGTGGGAATTGACTGGCCGGCAGTGGCTAGTGGTCAAAGGGCCTAGGGCAGAGCTGGCACTGTGAGCCCAGCACACCGTTTGGTTTCTTCTGCCCGCCCTGCCTGCACCAGGGCTTTCGTGAGCATTGATGTCACCCCGTTTCGTTTGCTGGTGTTTTAGCTAGCATATTGTGGTAAGTTGGGATTTCTGACCCTGTAGAAATAACTTTTTAAAAAATGAATTCAATATTTGGGGGTTTTTAGCAATAACTTTTTGAGAATGAATGCATCCAAAGGAAATGAGGAGAAAGCCCAGAAGGCAATGGCAACCTACCTGATCAGCGTGGAAAGAGTTTACAAAGCAATCTTGCTGTGGGGGCTGGTGCTATCTAAGAAAAATACCCGCACTTGGGAAGTTCACACTGTGCTTAGTACACGCGTCCTACCGTCAGACTCTGTAAGGAGTGTGACTGAGGACTCTGTACGGTCAGGCAGGAGAGGAGACGGGGGCGCACACATGTAAGTACACTGGGTGTGTCCCCGACCCTGGTGACAGTGCTGTGTAGAGCAGCTAGTGTTCCCAAGTGAGCCCTGGCTGCTCAGGAGCTGGCGGGACAGGGAGCTGCTGGGAAGTGGGAGGTACAGACGGGTGGAACACTTTGGAAAACATTTGGGCAGGTTCTGAGAAAAGTAAACATTCGACGGGCATCCTCTAACCAACTCCGTCATCACACTCCAGGGGTCCACCTGTTTGTGGTGACCTTACTCCTGGTCACCTACTTTGAGCATGTCTGTCGTCAGCAGAGACCGGTCCCCGGAGGAGGACATCATGCTGGGTAAAGAGGAGGAGCAGCGAAAACAGGAAGGCCCTTGGCAGAGGGTCGGTACAGTGGCTGCGACAATGGGCTCAGGCACAGGAACCATTGTGAGGATGGGGCAGGACCGGGCAGTGTCTCCTGTTGTGCATGGGGTCACTATGGGCTGGAGCTGACTGGACATCAACAGTCCTGGAAAGGTCCCCCAGGGCCCAGGTGGACAGGCGACCAAGCTTCAGTCTGTCCCCTGGAGGAATCGGCTTAGCAGAATGAAGGTGCCAGCTGCCGGCTGCTGCCAGCTCAGTAGTGGCTCTCCGACCCCGACAGCTCTGAAATACGCACAATGAGGGGACACAGGACGGCGGTGGGCCCAGGGCTGGGGCTGCAAGGCTGTTCTGTCTGGTTGGCAGTCTGGGGCTGGGTGCTTTTGTCTAAACTTATACAACTGTGCACCGAAAAGAGTGACTTTCACCGCCTGTAGTTTTACCTCCATTTTTTTTAATTTAAAAATTATATATATATATATGTATATATATATATAGAGAGAGAGAGAGGAGAAAGGCAGAGAGCAGACGGAGGACGTGGTGGTGGTGAGATGGCAATGAGTCAGTGCCAGCTCACAGCGCCCCCCTGGATGTACCACGCTGCCCAGGCCCAAGCCACACCCACACTGGTTCTAATGTTGGAGCCCATTGTTGCAGCCACGGGTGTCCGTGCATGTCCTCAAAGTGCATCCTCTGTTTGATGACTTCTCTCCTGACAACATGTTCAAAATATGTGGGACCAAGCTTCGCCACCCTCGCCTCAAAGGAGCCTTCGGGCCGGACGTCTCCCATCACAGTTCTGTGTGTCTTCTGACATTCCTGGGTACTGTCGGTGTTCTTGCCAGCACCATCGTTTAAATGCACCATTTCTTCTGAACACTCCTATATTCAATGACCACCTCCCCGTGCATCCGAGGCGGCTGACAATGACCCGGATCGGCAGCTCTGAGTGACCACCTTGCTCAACACGCTAATGCAGCGGTTCTCAACCTGTGGGTCTCGACCTCTTTGGGGGTCAAACAACCCTTTCCCAAGGGTCGCCTAAGACCATCGGAAAACACAAATATTTCACAATATATTATTACGTAGTGTTTTGTGATTAATCACTATGCTTTAATTGTGTTTAATGATGTTCAATCTGTAACAATGAAAATACATCCTGCATATCAGATATTTACATTACGATTCATAACAGCAGCAAGATGACAGTGAAGTCGCAACGAAACTAATCGTATGACTGCTTTAAGGAGACCTTGTCTATTGGTCCCGATGGGAGGATTCTGCTTTTCCTGCTTGCATTGCAATCCGTACTGAAGGCTGCAGTCCTAGGGCTTCGTCAGCAGGTGCCTCGGGCCGCCACGACTTCCACAAGCACAACAGAACTACCAAGCACCGCCCCCACGGCGAAAACGGGGGCAATCCGCCGAGTCCCGGATGAAAAGGTGGTGAAATGGGGCGGTGACTAAGGCCGGCCCGCCCCCTCGCACGCAGGCCCCGCCCCCTCTGCGCCGGCACCGCTGGCCGGGCTGCGCGCAGGCGCAGTTCTCCAGACTCCGCCCCACCGCTCCTCTCAGCTGCGCAGGCGCAACTCACTAGAAACCGCCGTCACTGACCTAGGTCCGGGCTCCGCCCCCTTTTCCCGACTCAAGCCCCGCCCCCTCGCCCGGCAGGACGCCCCTGCGGGCTCCCCTCCCGCGGCCATGGTGACCCTGGGCCTGTCCAGGGTGGACGACGCCGTGGCTGCCAAGCACCCGGTGAGGGGCGGCCTGGCCTGCGTGCTGGGCGGGAGGTTGGGGGCGTGTCCTCGGCGGGGAGAAGCGGGGGGACCGGGGGCGCCGGGGCGGAAGGTGCCGAGGCCGGAGGGAGAGGAAGGCCGGTGAAGGAAGCGGGATCGGGCACTGAGCGCCCCGTCCCCCGTCAGGGCCTCGGGGAGTACGCCGCCTGCCAGTCCAACGCCTTCCTGAAGGGCATTCTCACCTTCGTCACAGGTAGGCGGGCCCAGGTGGGCCAGGTGCCCCGCCCTGACGCCCCCCTCGGGCGGCCCCCGGGCTCGGGGCAATCGGCTGGCTGGCTGGCTGACAGCCTTGCCGCGGCAGGTACCGGCGCAGCCCTCGGCCTGCAGATGCTGCTGCACCGGAAGCGCCCGTACCCCTTGCAGTGGAGCGTGTTGGTGGCCATGGGTAGGTGCCGGAGGCAACAGGCCCGCGAACTGGTGCTCACCGTGGGGGTGGGTGCCTCAGGGATCCGAGGCTGTACCTAGAGCATCCCCACTTCCAAGGAGGAGTCCCCAGACTTGTGTGAACCCCCGACCACCACCTGCAAAAGTTGCCTGTGCCCAGGATGGGACCCCCAAACCGCCTGCCGCAACCTGCCCTCACCTGCGCCCCACCTGCCCCTACTTGGCCTTACCTACCTGCCTGTACTTGTCCCCTCCTGCCCTCACCTGCCCCCTGATCCTACCAGCTCCCACCTGCCCTTACATGCCCACACCAACTCCCACCTGTCCCCACATATACCTACCCACCTACTACTACCCCCTCTGTCCCTACTAATCCGTACCTACTCCCACTTGCCATTACCTACCCTACCTGCCCCCGCCTCTCACCCGCTCCTACTTGCCCCACCTGCCCCACTTTCCAGTCTCAGGCTCCCTGGCCAGCTATGGGGTGACACGGGTGGAGACCCAGAAATGCAACAACCTCTGGCTCTTCCTGGAGACCGGGCAGCTCCCCAAAGACACAGGTGAGAGGCTGGGATGGGGCTGGCACCGGAGGCCCCAGTGCCCACAGACGCCATAGGCAGGCCCTCTGTCCTCTGCCCTCTGCCTCACCACAGTAGCTGGAGCGGGAAGGGGGCAGGTGGTCAGCAGGAGGAAGGCCCTGGCTGGGGTGGAGCGAGAAGAGGGGCAGGGTGGGGACCCACCTGGGCTCCTCTCCCGTGGGCCTGTTTCTGCCACGGGAGCCTGAGTCCAGGGGCCAGAGAAACTCGGGGCTCCGTGTGGTCGTCACTGCTTCCCTTTGCCTCTTACAGATACACCCCGCTAGGAGACACCCAACGTGGGGGGCGGGATGGGGGGCAACGATCCAGAGGAACTCCGGGGACACAGCCTGCCCAGCCTGGCCTTTCCTGCACCCAGACCAGAAAGGACTGTCCCTGGGGTGGTGGCCTCGGAGGCACAGCTGTCCCTGGGAGCGAGAGCATTGTGCTCCGGTTGCCACTGAGGGCGGCAGCAGCTGGGGGGCGGGGTGGTGAGGGAGCCCCTCTGGCAGCCCCTCTAGCCCTCTGTCCCCAGGAGTCAACAGTCACAGCAGCTGCTGGGGTTGCCTGGCCAATAAACAGCTGTCCCTTTATCCCACCTGAGTGCTAAACCTGTGCTTCCCCAAGTGGGTGACACCAGGGCATGTTGGAACAACCAGGGGGAGGGCGGCAGCTGCAAAGCAGATAACTGCACGTTGCCCTGCATTCGGGTGTAGAGTACAAGGGTTTTCATTGCTGGGGGGCACTGAGGACTTCTTCTCTAGAAAGGGGTGGAGGCCGAAGCTGTGTGGGAGCCTTTGCTCCAAACCCCAGGAAACCGGTCGGTGGAGTACGAGGGGCCAGAAAGGCAGACTCACTGCCCTCAGCCTCCCCACGCGGCACCCACCCAGGCTGCCGGCTTTCTTCCCAGAGCAGCTGGTGGGTTTGAACTGCCAGCCGCAGGGCTAGGAGCCTGGAGCCTGACCCACTGTGCCACCAGGATCCCCTGCAAGGAGAATCTGACATTGGAAGGACTCCCTCACACTGAGCTCCGGAAGTAGCCACCCACCTGCTTGGGGAGCCCTGTTGGACCACCAAGGCCCCTTGTGCCTGGTCTTTGCCTGTGAGGGTGGCAGAGAGGAGCCACGAGGGGTGCTCGGGCCCATCTATACCTGAGTTTCCTAGAGGGGCAGCTGGGCTAACCTGCATGCTTGTCATTCTAAGCTCACCAGTCAGAGCAGGACACCTCTCCCCAGGGGTGGGGTGGGGTGTCTGTGTGTGGTTTTCAATGGGTGTGACCTATGGGGAATAAAACCAGTCCTTGTTTCCTGCACTCCTCTTGATGGATGTGAACCGCCAACCTTTCAGCGAGCGGCCAAGGGCATCACTGCTTTCGCCACCCAGGGCTGCCACAGAGAGGCCCGGACTGGCCTTGTGGAGCCCTGCCTGGGAGAGGGACCTCGAGAACTGGCCAGACAACGCTGCCTCGCCCTCACGCCCACCACCACCCACACACACAAGATGAAGAGGCAAAGATGGTACAAACCCTCCACAAGCCCGGTGTCCTTTGCAGTTGGCGTCCCAGTCCCAGTGTCCCCGCAGTGACACACGCGCCCCCACCCAAACTTGGTCCTTGTGGCTGCCCCTCAGCAGAACAGTGACCGGTCCCCCCAGGCACCGTGGATCCTCGGTGGGAACACGGTGGCTTTATTCACTCACTGTGTGAAAGTCCGAGTCAGCCGCCCGGCACAGACATAGGCATGGGCCCTGGCCCCTCGTAGCCTGCTCTCCGCTGTAACCGCCTCCATCTCCAGCCATCGTGTGGCCCTGCTTGCCGCAGCACCTCCATCCCGGCCAACAGCAGGCAGAAAGCAGGGGGAGGAAGGGCAGTTACTCCCACCACTGCTGTGTCCGGTCAGTGGCTAACAGCAGCGTGGTCTCCTCCGATGCCAAGGAGCCTGGGAGATGCAGCCCTGTCTGGGCAACCGGGGCCCCACTGTGACAGACTCCATCCCCTTAAAATGTCTGTGATAAATCCTAACCCCCCGCCTGTGACTGAGGGGCCCTGGTGGACAATGGGTAAGCACTAAGCTACTGACCCAAAGACTGGTCTGGAACCGCCAGCTGCTCTGAGGAGGGCGATGGGCTCCAAAAACCAAGCCCCCTGTGCAGTCCGCTCTAGCTGTCAGACACACTGAAGGGCAGGCGGTTTCCAGGGCCGTAAACCTTCACGGAAGCCTTGGCCTCCCCTCTTGCCCTCGGGGCAGCTGGTGGGGTCAGAACTGCTGGCCTTCTGGTTAGCAGCCCACACTTGGGTCCCTGCATCACCAGGACCCCTGCTGTGAGCACTCTCAGCCTTGGAAACCCTGTAGGGCAGGACCAACTCGATGGCAGTGGGGTGGGACCAGGTTTGGTCACCCCTGTGGCTTGGCAGCAGTGGGGTGGGTCCAGTTGGGTTGCCCTTGCCGCCAGGCAGCTAGCTGCTCATTGAAAGGTTGGCAGTTTGAGCCACCAGCTTCTTCCTGGGAGGAAGACATGGCCGCCTGTGCCTGTAAGGGTTCCCTCAGTGACCCCTAGCAATGTGGTGGGACAGGCTGGGACTGTCCCTAGGGGCTTCCCAGGCGGTCTGTCTCTATGGGAATGGAAAGCCTCCCCTGTCTCCCTCATAGCAGCCAGGGTTTTGAACTGTGATGTGTGTTGAGCAGCACATCACATGGCCACTACACCCCCAGGGCTCTGCCGTAAAGAGTTGCCGCCTTGGAAATCCTCCGGCAGTTTCTCCCTGGAGCTGGAGGGCAACGTCCCGTGACTCTGATCTGAGGAAACGTGCGGGGGCAGAGCCAGTGCCGGCTAGTCTTCAGAGTGACCTGACTGAGCAAGCAAGGGTCAGCATGGGAGAGGGAGCTGCCAAGTTACACAAGATCCCTCCCTGGGGGACAGAAGCCTGGAAGACGGCAGGCCGTTCCTCCAGACCCAACAGCAAGCCTTCCCTGAGAGACTTCTAGCTCCCTGAACAGGGAGAGAATAAATCTGCAGTATTTCTGTTGTGGTAGAGAAGGAAGACACTGATGGTCAGGGGTTGAACATCTGAGGAAGGATGACAATGGGTCTCGGGGAACAACAATCAGACTGCCTCAGCCAGACACCTAGCTGGGCCCGGGAAGGACAAGAGGAAGCATTGCACCCAGCACAGGCCCTCGGTGCCACCGGAGGGGGAGCCAGGCCTCGGAAGCGGGCACAGAGTGTAGGGCCAGGCTGGACTGATTTTGTTCCAGTAGACTGGTTTGTGGGGTCTGCACTGCGGGTTAGACGGCGAACTGCGACCCAAAAGGCCGGCGCTGACTCCACCAGCTGCTTCAGGGGCGAGAGGCAAGGCTGGCGGCCCCAACAGAGCCTGCACTCTCGGGGCGAGAGGCAAGGCTGGCGGCCCCAACGGAGCCTGCACTCTCGGGGACCCTTCCAGGGTCACTGGCTCATGGCAGTGGGCGGGGGGTCTGGAATTCTTGAGTCATTTTGTCGCTGTTAGTCGGTTCCAACTCCCAGTGATCCCACACACAGTGGAACAAAGCCTGCGGGACCCTGTGCCATCCTCCCAAGGCCCCTCCCATTGTTGCAGCCACTGTGCCAGTCCATCTGGTCTAGGGCCTTCCTCTTCGCTGCCACCTCGCCACTTTACTAAGCATGATGTCCACTGCCTGGCAACGTGTCCAAAGTATGTGAGGCAAATTCTTGCCGTCCTTGCCTCTAAGCAGGGCTCGGCTGTACTTCTGTGTGAGTCCGGGTGGACTAGAGAAACAAATTCATAGACACTCATCTGTGTATAAGAAAGAGCTTCCTATCAAAGAGCAATTGAATTTTGAGAAAACATCTCAGCCCAGTCCAGATCAAGTACATAAGTCCAATATTAGCCCATACATCTGATACCAGTCTAAAAATTCCTCTTCAGACTCACGCAACACATGCAATGATGCCAAATGCAGGAAGATCACAGGCCAGTGGGTGGAAAGTCTTGTGGATCCAATGGTGGTAGAAACAGCTCAGTGCTAGCAGGGGTCTCCACGTGGCTCCTTCAGCTCCCGGACGCTAGCACAGCTCCATCTGTCTTCTCAACAGGAATGTCTCCCAGGGAGTGAGTGTGTGTCCTGCCTCCAGCGAGCTATTTATCTCCTTCACACCTCCAGATAAGGTCATCAAGCTGCGACCCATGGACAGGCTAAACTCCACCCCTTCAAGTCTCAAATTGACAACAGATGACGTAACTACAACTTCTGAGCACACAGATCCGTTTGTCCTTTTGGCAGTCAGTCCATGCTACTTTCAATACTCTTCTGCAGTACAATTCAAAAGCATCCGTTTTTCTTCAGTCTCCTTATTCAATGTTCCACTGTCTAATGCAAATGAGGCCATTAGAAATAGCATGACTTGGGTCAGGCATACCTTAGTCCTCAAAAACACCTTTGCTCTTCGACACTTTAAAGAGGTCTTGTGCAGCAGATTTACCCCATGCGATGCATCATTTGATTTCTTAACGACTGCTTCCATGAGCATTGACTGTGGATCCAGGCAGGACAAAGTCTGTCACTCTGTTCTCCATGTATCATGATGGTCCGGTGTGGAGGACTTGGTCTTCTTGACATTGGATTGTAGTTCACGTCGAAGGCTGCAAACCTTGGTCTTTCTTCATCAGCACGTGCTTCAAGCCCTCTTCACTTTCAGCCAGCGAGCTTGTGTCACCTGCACACCGCCTTCCTCCACTCCTGGTGCCACACTCCTCTCCATGGAATCCAGCTTCTCTGACGATTTGCTCAGCACACAGATTGAGTAAGTAGGGAGAGAGGACACGACCCTGCCACACACCTTCCCTGATTGTCAGCCCTGTTCTGTTCGCACAGCTGCCTCTTCATGCAGGTACAAGTTTAACGTGCATAATGAGAGTTCTGAAATGTCCACTCTTCTCAAAGTTATCCATCGTTTGTTATGACCCACACAGTCAAATGACTTGGGATATTCATGAAACACAAGTAAACATCTCTCTGGCGTCCAAGATCCATCTGATGTCAGCGGTGATATCCCTTGTTCCACATCCTCTTCTGAATCCAGCCTGCATCTCTGGCAGCTCCCTGTCAAAGCATTGCTGAACTTTATTGGATGATCTTCAGCAAAATTCTACTTGTGATATCAATGATATCGTTCTATAACTGGAGCATTCTGTTGGGTCGCCTTTCTTTGGAATGGGCACCAATATGGGTCTCGTCCAGCCACTTGGCCAAGTACCTCTTTTCCAGATGTCCTGCCGCAGACAAGTGAGTGCTTCCAGCGCTTCATTGCTTGCCAAACATTTCGATTGGTGTTCCATCCATGCCTGGCACCTGTTGTTGAGCTACTATTTTCAGTGCAGCTTAGACGCCTTCCTTCAGTAGCATTGGCCCTGATCATGTGCACCCTCCTGACGTGGTGGCCTGAAGATAGTTCTTCCTGGCGCAGCGACTGCGCATTCTTTCCATCACCCTTTGGTTCACTTAACCTGGGCACCGTCGAGAGGAAGGGCACTGCATTCGTTATCAGAAAGGGCATTTCAAGGTCTATCTTGAGAACAACGCTGCCTGTGATAGGATTGTGGCTCTCTGCACACCAGGAAATCCAGTCAGAACAATAATTATTCAAATTTATGTACCACCCACTAAAGTTAGTAATGCAGACACTGAAGAAATCTACCAATGTCTTTGATCTGAAATTGGTCAGACATGAAATCAAATGCATTGATGATTATTGGTGATTGGAATGCAAACGTTGGAAACAAGGAAGGAAGGGTAGTTAGAAAACATGGGCTTGGCATAGAAACGGAGCTGAAGATCACATGGCAGAATCTCACAGAACCAACAACTCGTTCATAGCAAATACCTTTTCTCAACAACACAAGAGGACTTCTCCAGAAGGGTGACACAGAAATGTGGGAAGAGACGACGGGGAAGCGCAAGGTCAGCCGCTAAAACCTGGCCAGGGGCCGGTGGTGGAGCAGACCCTCCATCGCTCAGCGGTAAGTTCAGGTTGAAGCTGAAAAACATTCAAGGAGAGCCAAAATACGACCTTGAGTCTCTCTTCCCTAAATTTCAAGAGAGACTTGATGCATTGAGCACTACTGATGAAAGTCCTGCTGAGCGTGTGCGGGGAGACCCTCACACTAACTGAAAAGCCCCCACACTGTCACAGGTTCGCAGGAGCATGTGCGGCTATGAATAGAGCTGACAGTGGAGGCACGGAAGCTCGGAGGAGAGAAGGAAGTGAGTCGCAGTGTCGCGGCAGCGCGCTCACCTCTGCGATGGCCATCACTCAGCAGCCGGTCCACGCAGAGCAGGAGGACGGGCAGGAAGGAGAGTGTCTCCGCTTTATTTCTGACCACGGCCATAGAGTCCTCGGGGTGTGATTACAGGTAACGGCACACGGCACAGGAAGGGGAGGGGCTAGGGGTGTACAGGAAATAGGAGGGGAGGGGTTAGGGGAACATGTGACAAGAAGGGCAGCCCCTGGACTCACTGGGGCAGCCTAACCTCCGTCCCCCTTGAGTGGGCTTGAGCTCCCTGGGCTCTCCTTCAGGGAAACAATCTACTATCCTTATCAGAAGGGATTGGGCCCTACTTAGGGTGGGACAGACTGTACAGTCTGATTGTGCTAGATGACTGATAACCCTTAAGGGGAATAACCTCTGACCTGCTTGCAATGACCTCCAAGTGTAGTGTACAGTCATTCAGTCCTAGGTTTGGCATATATTTGGGGGAGACAACCTGGGAAAAAGCCTGTTTATATCCCACAGAGCTGTGGGATGACGTCAAGAATATCCCCCATGAAGGATCAAAAGGTCACTAGAGAGAGGAAAGAGGAAAAGACAAAGTACAGCTCAGAAGAGACCCTGCAACCTGCCCCAGGTCACGGAGCAGCTAGGGACATGGAGAACGGATGACGACGTCTGTGTGAGTCTGGGTACTTTGGAGAAATAAATCCACAGAGGCTCATGTATAAGAGAGAGTTTTATATAAAGGGTAAGTAAGCATCAAGAAGACATCCCAACCCAGTGCTGCCCAAGCCCACAAGTCCAACATTAACCCATATGTCCAACACCAATCCACAACGTCCTCCTCCATCTCACAAAGCAGACGCAATGACGCTGACTGCAGGAGGAAAGCCGAGTCAGTGAATGAACAAGCATCTCAGGGTTGGCAGGGGTCTCCACTCGACTGCTCCAGCACCCAGGGCTGCATCTGGGTAGGTCCATGTGGCTTCTCTTTGGGGATGTCTTGCAGGAAGTCAGCCTTGCCAGCTGAAGCAGGGAACTGCTAAGGCAGCTGTACCCTGGTGCGACCATCACAAAGCACTGAGCCATTTATCCCTCCACCCTTCAATTAACCCCACATGTGTTTATCGGCCAGGTTGGCACAATTAACTAACTAAATCAACGTCACAGCACGCGCGGAGCGGCATGTAAAAGGGCAGCTCAAGAAGACAACGTAAAACAGTGACGTGTGCGAGGACCTAGCGTTGTTGTTGTTGTTATTGTTAGGTGCCGTGAGCTCCAACCACAGCCACCCTCCACACAATGGAATGAAGCCCGGCCGGGCACTGCACCTGCCTCTCTACTGTCCCCAGGCCTGAGCCCACTGTGGTAGCTCCAGGGCCCATTCATCTCTTCCTCGCTGCCCCTCCACTTTACCAAGCAGGACGTCCTTGTCCAGGGACTGGTCTCTCCTGACAACACGTCCAAAGATTCAGAGGAAGGCTCGCCAGCTTTGCTTCCAAGGAGCACTCTGCTGTGCTTCTAAACCAGGCGGATTTGGCCTTTCGCCACCCCTGGACACTTCACTGTTCTTCTCCAGCACCACCACTCAAATGTACCGATTCTTCCTCAGCCTTCCTTACTCAATGTTCAACTATCAAATGCCTATGAGACCACTGAAAACACCATGACTTAGGTCAGGCACACACTTTAGACTGTAAAGCCAAATTGCCCCCGTGACTGGCTCCGGGATCTCGGGCAGGCTGTGGGTTCATGTTTCCTAGCAGTGCAAAGTAGGACGTACCCAGAGACTGAGGCTAGCCAACACGGGAGCGGCATAGCGAGCCCAGCCTCCGAGGGGAGGACCACACGGCCAGCTCGGGAGCTACACAAAGGACCAGACTGCCAACCTACCTCAGATGAGCCAATCAGTGGATTGACGGGAAGGGGGGCTGGGAATGCCCCTTTACGTATACTTGTAAATAAATACTTTGGAATTTATTTTGTGGGGGCTCTTGTCCAAGACGGTGCACACAGTTAAGCACCTGAGGACTGGAGCCGTGGCTTAAGCTAGCATAATAAAACCTCTTCTGTCATTGCAGCCTTGTGTTTGATCTCCTTCCATTGAAAGGGGAATTGCTCCAGGTCCCTAACAAGACCTCAAAGTGACATCCTTGCTTGTCAATACTCTAAAGAGGTCTTGTGCAGCAGGTTTACCTAAAGCAAGACGTCTTTTGTGCTCTGGACTGCTGCTGCCAGGAGCGCTGATTGTGCATCCAAGCAAGACAAAGCCCTTGACACCATCAACCTTCTGTGCATTTACCACCATGTTACCTTATGCATAGCTTCCAGACCTAGAGTTAGAAAACCAAAAAGAAGAACCATCTCTCAGCAAATCTTAAACGGAAAGAACTCCAGAAAAAAAATTCAAGCCTCGCGTTGAAATATTGAAAAATTCTATAGGCAAAATATTGAATGATGCAGGAAGTATCACAAGGCGATGGAAAGAACACAGTCACTATACCAAAGAGAGCCTTTTGGGGTTTGGCCGGGGGTGGGCACCAAAAATACCCCAAAACCTGCTGCATGGAGTCGGCTCTGATTCAGAGCTCCTGCAGGGCGGAGAAGCACTGCTCCCTGGATCCCAGGTGACTAGAAGTCGTGATGAGTTCACGGATGCAGACAGCCTCCTCTTTCTCCCCCAGAATGGCTGGGGGTCCCAACCTGTGGGCTAGCGACCCACCACATGACCAGGGGTCCCCACAGGAAGTGCAGCACCCCCATGCATCCCACTTCCCTGCACAGCTTCCCCAGGACCACACCCACCCCGTCCCTGCTCTGTGGCCAGCCCTCCAGCACAGGGTCACACAGTGCACAATGCCCTGGACCCACACGCTCAGGCTCACCCTGCCACCGCTCGCCTGCTGGCACTGCCATTCCACAGCTTGGCAGAACCTCCTATGCTTGGGGTCAGACTGGCGTCTTTTCCTCAGAAAGTCCACCTAAGGGTCCCCCTCTCCTCTGGTGGGCAGAAAGCTCACCTCCTGTTGCTTGCTGAACTGGCATCCCGCCGAGAGGCAATGTGGGCACTGCAACTGCCCACAGGGAAGGCCAGGTGTGGGAATAAAGACCCCATCGGGTGTGCACCCCAGAGCCCCAGGAAGCTCAGGCTGTCCCTGGGGTGGGCTCCATCTGAGCCAAGGCCAGGTGATAGGGAAGCCAGAGGCCCAGGGCCCACGGCGGTCGGGGGTCAAGGTGGGAAGGGAAGGTGGCAAGGTCCAAGTGCCTAGTGTTAGGTCTCATGAGCCAGGTGGTCGAGGGCCTGTGAGTGTGGTGTGCACTGGGGATCCCGAGCCAGTGGCAGGGGAAGCGGGTAAGAAATTTCCATCCTGTGGGTGGGTGGGGGGTAGCCTGAGGTCTGGGAGGAGGCAGGTAGGTGAGGGGTGCTGATGTGGGACCCAATACCAAGTCACCCCCTGTGTGGAGGCACCTGACCACGGCAGTGTCCTCTGAGGGTGACCCCCGGGAACAGCAGCGGGGGTAGGGCAGGCAGGCATTCCGGGTTCTTGGTCACAATGGGTGGGGGAGTCCCAGGCCTCAGAGGTGGCTGAGCAGAGAGCACACGGACTTGCAGAGTGCTCTCGGGGTGACGAGGGCCACCATGAGGGTGTACAATGAAGGGGACGTGGAGGAGCAGATCCAGGAGCTGAAGACCATCACACGGCTCCAGGGTAGGCATCTCAGGACACACGGCCACTGCTACTGTCCATCCGCCCGCAGCTGGAGAGGGAGTGGGAGGCCTACTGTGCAGGGCTTGGGGAGATGGGGGCACATCAGCCACGTGTACGTGAAGTACATGGTCTGAGTGTGTAAGGGTCATGGGCCATAGACCCTGCAGAGCAGGTGTTTGGGCCTTCCCCAGCACAACCTCCTTCCAGCTTGGCCCTCCAAGGACAAGTGCTTGTTGGGCAGGACAGCCTGCTCAGGAGGTTAGGGTATCTGGGGCAGCCTCCGCCCTTCGAATGGCCATGACACACACACCCCTCCCACGCACCCCCTGACCCCCAGAGCAGTGCCGGGCGCTGCAGGTCCAGGCTGTGAAGGAGAAGACAGTCCAGAACAAAGCCAAGCTGGCCCTCCTGCGGGACAGGATCCGCCATGGCTCCCAGGACTGGGCACTGGCCCAGAAGGTGGGTTCCCTCGCACCCTGCTGCTGGGTGGGACAGATACGTGGGGTTGCAGCCCCCCCCCACACACACACAGAGGGGCAGCGAGGCACTACCTCCGGGCCAGGGCACCTCCCGAGCAGGTCCTGGGACTGTGTGCCAGCCCAGCCACACCTCAGGGCCCGGCGGCCTCAGGCAGGCTGTCCACTTGGAGGGAGTCCCACCCTGGGCCCTCCAAGGCAGGGTCCTCTCGTCTGTGGTTGGGGAGGGGAGGCCCAGCCTCACTTCTCTCGCCATCATCAGAGCCAGGAGGGCTCCGTGTGGCCCTCCCCGCTCAACCGCCGCCTCTCTGCAGTATGACCAGTGGACCATCTCTAAGGCGTGTCGGACAAACCGGGCCATGATGCTGGCGAACTGCCGCAGCACCATGGAGGTAAGGGGACCCAAGGAGCGCTGTCTGGGAGCTGTCAGGTATCCCCCTCGCCTGGCGGCTGGCCAGGCAGCCATGGGTCCATGCCCTCCCTGACCCAGGATGCCCGCGAGAAGCTGCGCAAGTCCGTCTTCGACCGCGTGAACGCGCACAACGCGCTGATCCACCTGGTGCGGCAGCGCGGCCAGAAGCTGGAGGGCTTGCAGCTGGAGCTGGCCGGCCTGCAGAGCCAGCCCGACGTCACCAAGGAGGAGCTTCGGTTGCGGCAGGTGGCCCCGCGGGGCGGGCAGTGCTGCTGGGGGGGGTTCCCGAGTGGGGCGGAGCCTCGGGGCTGCCACCCCGTGAGCTGGGTGAGGCCCCAAGGCCAGGAGGAGGGAGGGACACAGGGGAGGGACGGTGCTCCAACTGGGGACTAGGTCCCGGGTAAGAGCCCCTCAGGCAGAGGTGGGACTCTAGTGAAGGGGCTCTGCCCAGTTAGAAGGCTGGTCCAGAACCGGCGCCTGCGCCGTGGTGCCATGGCCTGTCCTGCAGCACGTCCTCCGTGCCCTGGGCCCAGGTCATGCGGCAGCTGGAGAACAGCATCGAGAAGACCTCGGTGAAGATCACCATGTGCCACAACATCGACGCGCTGTACGTGGGCTTGCTGGATTATCTCAAGAGGGTGAGCGTCCACCCTCAGCGCTGCCCCCTGAGCCCCGGGCCCCCGTGCCTCCAGCCAGTGTCGAGGCGTTGTGGAAGATGGGGGAGGGGGGCGCTGTGTCCTCAGCGTCTGAGGTGGCCCCTGCTGATGGAGGACGGTCAGTTCTTTGGGCACCTGCTCTGCCTTCTCCATGCAGGAGCTGGCAGCATATCCCACGCAGCTGGACAAACTGCAGAGTCTCGTGTCCAACTACTGCTCGGAGCTGTCGGACATGTCGGTTATGTCCCGAGACGCTATGATGATCACGGAAGAAGTCAAGGTGAGCTGGGAGCGTGGGAACGGGGCTCCAGGGCTGCCCCTCGGCCCTGCCAGCGGGGACGGCAGAGGTTGCCCAGCCGCCTCTGCCCAGGCAGCCCGTGAAACTCACAGCGACGGGGAGTACAGTCCCTTCCTCCTTCCTCCATCGCAGCCTCCTTCCATGCTTGCACGTGCATTTGCAAAAAGAGGCTACTCCGAGGTCTAGGAAGCTTGGCCTTGACAGGGACTTCCGAAGTTGGCCCCCAGGAATTCTGGAATCCCTTTGTGGGACAGGCCACCCCCACCACCACCCTCTGTCCCCAGATGAACATGAGCCAGGCGGAGGCCTCCTTCATTGAAGAGCGCAGGGCTCGCGAGAACCGGCTCACCCAGCAGAAGAAACTTATCGACAAGATCCACACCAAGGAGACCAGCGAGAAATACCGACGGGTGAGCCCCGCCTCCTAGTTCCTGTGCACCTGCCGCGCCCCTGGCCGCGCCCAGGTCCTGCCCCTCCCCCCTCCCCACCCACCCCACCCACCCACCACCTCCGAGGGTTGCAGCTGTCTTCCTGGTCCCTACAGGGCCGCAGGGACCTGGATTTCCCCTCAAGCCTGGTGAGCGTGGAGAACCTGAAAGGTGAGCCCGGTCTGGCCCCCTGGAAGGCAGGTGTGACCCCCAGCCACAGCCGAGGGACAGAGTAGGGCCTGCCTCATGCTGACTGCCCACCAACAGGCTACACTCACAGGACCACCACCGCTGGGCTCTGGGCCGCAGGAGGCTGGGCCTCAGGCACTCAGAGAGGCTGCCAGCCTCCCAGGGCTGGACTTCGTGAGTGGACGGGACCTCTGGCCCCAAACCTGTGTCCCAGAAGCACCAGGCTGACCCAAGGCATCCCTTGGGGACTGCCAGGCTTCTCTAGAGAGACAGCCCCAGGGAACGAGACGGACGGGAGGCAGACAGGCAGCGAGGAAGAGACGGACAGACTTTCAGGAAGGAGCTTACAGGATTTTCCAGGATGGCTGGCACGCTCAAAGTCATAGGCTCGGAGCAGAAGGCTGAAGTCACCTGGGGACCGGCCCCCCAAACCCTCACACCACACTGAGAGGAGTGGACAGAGAGAGTCCTAGCAAACTACCAATCTGCTGCCCTAGGGGCAGAGCAGGGAAACCTCCCCTCGTGCTCTTAAAGCTCCAACTCTTTCGATGAGGCCCACCTACATCATGGAGGGCAATCGGCTTGCCTTGAGTCCAGCTGACTGCATCCCAGGAAGGACCTAGGGTCGTGTGTGTCCAAGCCTGTGGACACAGAAATTCAGCACCACCACAGGAGCTGGGCAGATGGTCCTGGTGCCGCAATGGGTTGAGCCCTGGGCTGCTAACCAAAGAGGTCGGCAGTTTGGATGCATCAGCGGCTCCACTCAGTGGGAGGGAGAGGAAGCCACCTGCTCCCATAAAGAGTGGCAGCCTCCGTCCGACACCCTCCTGAGCAGTTAGACTCAACCCTGCAGTCGCTGTGAGTCAGAACCAGCTCTCTGGCAGTGTTGTTGAGGGGAGCGGGTCATCTCACGCCCTGCCTGCTGTCCCTGCCCGTCTTCTCTGCACAGTGAAGCGGACAGAGTCCTCCAAGGCCGACATCGAGTACCAGGCGAAGGTGACCATGCTGGTGGACCATGTGAAGACTGCTGTGCGCTGCTCCCACCTCTGGGTAAGCCAACGCTCCCAGGGAGGGGCAAAGGGCCAGGCCCCCGTGGATGGGCTTTGAAGGCTGCACCCCTGTGCCTCCTGGGCCTGGTGGGGCAACTCAGTGTGGAGGACGCCCCAAGGCAACTCCGGAGGCCCCTCTGAGCCTGTCTGACAGGTGCCTCCCATACCAGGGCAAGGCTCTCCCTCGGGCCTTGCCCCTCACTGCCCGCCTTCCTCATGTCAAGGTTGGCACCCTTTTATTCCGTGCTCCCACCCTGTCCAGGCTCCAAAAGTAAACCAGGGTAGCAGGATGTCAGCACTGCCCCCTATGTGCGTGAGACCGCCTGCCTTCTCTGGGGGGGCCATGGGAGCAACTAACTGCTGGGGAACTAGCTGCTGGGGACCCAGGGGCGGGGGTGGGGGAGGACTGTTTCCTGGGCCCAGGCCCACTCCTGCTCCTTTCTCTCTGCTGGCCGGGCCAGGACATCGCCGGGCGCTTCCTGGCCCAGAGGAACACGGAGGAGAACCTGGAGCTGCAGATGGAGGACTGCGAGGCGCGGAGGAAGCAGCTGGAAGCCTTGATGAAGAAATTGGAGCTGGAGCAAGTGGTGCTCAAGTTCCACCAGGCACCCAACTCCATCAGGTAGCCCAGGGAGCCATCCCGGGCCCAAGGTGCGGCAAGTGCTCAAGGGTGGCCCAGTCAGGGCCCTGGCCCAGCTGCCCCAGCTGCCCCTGCACTCCCACGGTCCCCAACAGCTTTGTGATGGTTGAAAAGAAGCTTAAGGACACGCTCAAAGAGGAGGAGGGGCGGCTCCAGCTGGCCCTCAGCAACCTGACCAAGAGCCAGAAGCTGTTGCTGACGGTCCAGACAGGCATCGACAACCTCTACTTCCGGCTCATCGGCATCCCCCCGCCGCTCGGCCAGGTGCCTGCCCGAGGGAGCTGCCCCAACCGCCAGGGCACTGGGGCAGCAGGTGGCCATCAGACGCCCCTCTCGCCTGCAGAAAGAAGTGGAAATCGCCAGCCCCGCAGATGTGTATGGCAAGCTGGTGTACTGCGAGAAGAAGCTCACGTACCTGATGAGCAGGGTGGAGAAGCTGGCCCCAACTGAGGAGGTAGCCCGGCCAGGAGGGGAGCCCACGAGCGAGCGCACTGCCCGGTCTGTGCCTGCGAAGCTGAGGGAACTCTGCCCGTCTGCAGGTCACCATGAAGGTGAAGGACATCCTGGAGTCGTCCACCCTCAAGGAGAAGCAGAATACCAAGATTAGCTTTGAGGATCTGGAGGAGGACGTGATAGGTATGGGCGGGGCCAAGGGGCGGGGCCCATCGGGACCAGGGCCTGGGAAGGGCGTGCCCAGCCAGAGACGTTTGGTGGTGGTCGCGGTGCTGGACGGGGTGCGGAGTCGTGGTGGAGGGTGGTGGTGGCCAGTGCGGGGCGGGACCGAAAGTTTGGCACCGAGCTAAGACTGGGCGGGGCCGGACAGAGTGGGGGGGGGCCGAGTTCTGGGGGTGGCGTCTAGGTGCTGGCCCCACCTCGCCCCCACCCTCCGAGAGGGAATGTAAGCTGAGCTGGAGGTGCAGAGCCTCCTAAGGTCCCCGCCGGACAGCCTGGGGTGGGGACGCGGGTAAGGGGGGCCAGCAGGGCTGCAGAGCTGGCTCCCCGCCTTCGGCGGCGTCCGTCCACCTAGAAACCTTCCAGTTTGCGGACGTGGACCACAGCTACGTGCCCTCGCGGGCTGAGATCAAGAAGCAGGGCCAGAAACTGATCGAAGCGAAGCTCAAGATGGCCAAGAAGAAGAAGAAATAGCTCGTCTCCTCGCTCTGCCGGCCCCCATCCCCCCGCCACCTCGTTAGGATACAAATAAACATTTTTCCAGGACGGACGGGGCCCGTCCTTGGGTGGTGCCACGTGTGGAGGGGGGTCACGCGGGGAAGTTCTAGGGGAAATCTGGGTGTCGTGTGAATGGGG